CGGCTAGGGGGCTGCACAGTCACCTTGGGTAACTTCGCCAGGGCCACCTTTGATGCCATCTCCAAGACCGACAGCTATCTGACCTCTGGAAAGAGACAGTGTTCACCAAGTCTCCCTACCAGGCAGTCACTGGCCATCTTGTGAAGACCCACAGAGTCTCCCTGCAGAGGACCCAGGCTCCAGCTGTGATGACCACACAGTCGATTTTATATAAAAAGAATCAAGTGAATTGAGCCTGGGGGGAAAAAGCAGCAGCAGAAAGAGAAAACCTACAGAGCTACACATCCCAGCTCGGCTGGGCGGACCGGACAGGCCCAAACCCCGGGCTTCTCATCAATGCCCCAGGCCAGGTGGCACTCAACTCCAACAGCCGCTCCCAAGTGGGCCAGCCCAGTCCAACTGCTGGACAAATACCTCCAAAGTACACACCTGGCCACACACCAGGCATGACATACGTCTCCCTATGCCTTCTGGATGGTGTGTGCTGAGGGAAAATTATTTCCCAAGTTAAGCTAACGAGGATAAGTTGCTTCAGGAATACCTCGAGTAAGCCTCCACCCAGAATACCTCTCTCCCAAACATGCCATTGGCTGGTTTGACACCTGTCTCAGTCACACTGGAAGGATTCTGGAGAGAGGGAGGAAGGGCGGGGTTGAACGCATCACTCTGACACAAGCAGTCCCCTGAGCTGTGGCAGAGAACTTCTGTCCGAGAACGCGGCGCCTCGGAATCCAGTCTTGGAGGGCGGGCGGAGAAGAAGCCCCGAGAGGCGCCTCTCTCTCCACTGATGAAAATCAGTGCGCAGGAGCCCTGCTTTCTCCGCTTCGGTTCGTGAGACACCCCACGTTTGCAGGGCCAGGATCGGCCTCTGCCATCTCCGTGGTGACTTCATTTCCTCTCTGAGGCCAGGGCTGGCTTACCATTGGCATTTCAGAAAGCTGGGGGCGGGGGTGGGGGTGAGACGGGACAGCTTCCCTATTTTTCAAGACTGGTCTGAGAAGGCTTCCAATTAGACACCGACTGGGGACAGAAAGAACCCCTTTCAAGTACAAGGCCGGCCAGCCCTGCCTGCCAGTTGGCATTTATTTCATAGTCACACTCTCCCTCCCACCCCCTGGGATCCACCCAACCCCAAGGAGGGGCCTACAAAGAGAACATTTGGAAATGTGCAGGCCAGTGCCTGCTGGTTCCTGAGCCGTTTTCATCCTGTGACAGATGAAAGAGGCCACCTAACAGCCTAAATCAATTGTCACCACCCGCTAGCCCTCTCCCTTGCCAGGTGGTGGCCCAGCCAGCATTCCAACACCGCACCCAGGAGGATGAGCCGGCCAACGGCAGGACTCACACCACTAGAGCAGTCAACGAGTGCCTCCAGCCTCACCGACCACCCTGACACACACTGCTCACAGGTGCTCACTGGGGAGAAACAGAACTGCCTAATCGGGACACCCAATCTCCCCAAACTCCCAGCTCCTGGGTAGCCATTTCCCACGCTCAAGCCTGCCTAAAGCCCGCCCGGAGCAGAGTGGCGGCTGTGGCTTCCCCCAAAGAGCTGACCCTGAGCTGGCTCTGGGGCTCTTGGTTCAACATCTCAAGAGGCAAGGGGAGAGATGGCTTTTCACCTCTGGAATCTTGTCAACTAGAGCAAGCCCACCGGTCCCAGCTGGAAGCACCTCCCCAAGGACAATCTCCTACTGAGGCTGGCTGTGCCCTGGAGTTCGTTTCCCAGGGGTCCAGGTTTTGACCCTGGTCACTCGTCTTTCCACTTGCTCCCATGCACTCCTGAGAGAAAAGTGATGGACACCCCCCACCCTGAGGTTTTCTGAGAGAACGCTATTAGCCAGGCGTGGTGGAGGAAGAGGGTCTTCAAAGAAAGAGAAGCTTCCACCTACATATATGGGGTGGCTCTGTAAGGGAAAAACAGGGTTTCCCCCCCAACACCAGGTCTAGAAGCCACACAGAGCTGATGAGTAGTCAAAGTATAAGGCGAGGCAAAAAAAACAAAGACAAGCCAAAAAATACCAACAAAAGCATGTCATACTGTCACCGTCTCAGTCCAGCCAGCCCAGAACTTGCTGGGAAGAGGTTCACAAATCCAGCTAAGCTGCGCAAAGGGACATCACGGAGAGTCCATCCAAAACGTTCACGAAAGTATCTGAGCATCTCCAAATTGATTTCACTCCAAGCCTGCCATTCACAGGGTTTAAGAGGAGACCACAGGAACTCAGCATATTTACACCACCGTGTCCCTGACTTTCCAACATTCCACTAACCCTTTGGTGCAGGGTCTCTCTTGTGGGTTTCTTTCTGTGGCCACTGCCCACCCCTTCCAAAATAACTCACCATTTAACTATATACACATATACAGTGGGGCTTCCAATGTATGCATAGACAGAGACCAGCTGGGGCAAAGGTAAATCGGAGGGAAAGAGCCCCAGACATTTCTCTTACAGAAATGGGATGGGTCAAGTTGAAAAGGCGCTGAGCCCAGAGGCTCCCAAACTTATTTGGCTGACCACCCCCTTTCCAGAAAAACAATCCCGAGCTCCCTTGGGAATTAAAACGTTTGTTCTATAGCCCATAATCCAGGATAAACTGTAGGTTTCTGCCTTTGCATCTCCCCTGGGTCTTTCCAATGACCTCCAGGAGGTGTTATCACCCACTTTGGGATCACTCTCTAGGACAGGGTCGAACTGCCCCTGTGTGTTCCTGAAACTCTTAACTCTTTAGAGGAGTAGGAAGCCTGGTCTTTCTCCCGAGGAGTGGCTGGTGGGCTTGAACTACTGGCCTTGGGGGTTCGGTTAACACCCTACTGCTTAACCAGTACACCACCAGGGGTCCTGGGAAACTGTAGCTGAGCCTAAACCAAAACTTGGCCCAAAGCCCTGGTTGAGTAATACATCCTTACAGCAAGTTTGGAAACTGTCACCTGCTTATGGTAAGGGGCCGTTCCTGCTACAAGGGGCTCAGCAACTTCTCCAACGGGCTGAAGAACTTAAAAGCTCAAAGTCAGGGAACTCCCACAACCTGCTGGCTAGAATGCCATGAGGCTTCTATGTTCTAAGCCCAGACGCTGCCATGATCTTCCTATGCTGCTCTTCTCCTCTGCGTGGCCTCCGGAGATCCAAACTTGAGTAGACTGAAAGGAAAAGGTAACCAGTCCGCGTGCTGTCAACAGCTTCTTCTGGCCTGGCAGTGGGGTTAGCCTGCTCTCGAGAACTAGCAGTGTTTAAATCTCACAGGCCCAGAGTGTCCTTGTCAGCCTCGCTCAGGGGGCTTCACAATTACCTCAGGCCAGTCTTACTGGCTTTTTGGTGTTCTTGTTTGGGGCTTTTAAGCAAAGAGGACAAAAGCATGTGCACAACCAAGGGGAGGAACCAGAACTGAAAAACTTCCCAATGGCCCCAGCCAATGAGTGTCCACTTCCAACAGGTCTGAATGCCTGCTAGAAGCCACTGGAACACTGACATCATCAGCTAGGTTGTCTGACAGATTCGTCCCCCTTCATTGCACACAAGAATTTCGGAAAAAAACAAGACACTGCAGTTACATTCGTTATTGTGGCCAGCTCGTTTCTTTTTATTATTCATCAAAATGAGATCCTGTGGTCTGGGCTCTACCCTCCGTGCCTTCTCAGCCCCCCTGAGCGGGCCAACACCCTCCACACTTTGGAGCACCGGAGAACCGCTTGGGAACAAAATAACAACTCCACATGGCGTTGGGATGTTCGGATACTGAGTGGTCTCTAGAGTGCAGCGTGCCACTGTCTTCCGCAGAGCACACCAGCAAACAGCTGGCACCCTTCTTTCTCAATGACCGCCAAGAACAGGAAGACCCGGGCCACTTCGTGGCTTAAAGCAGATCCATTGCAAACCCACCCCACCCCACTCTTCCCCCAAGAAACAACAAATAAAGTAGGCAAAAAGTAAGCTCCGGAGGAGAAACGAGCTTCAGGCAAATGCACACTGAGAACAGCCGGAGGGAGTCCCCCAGGATCGAGTTAATTAAGACACAATTTAACGCGCCGGTACGTTGGAATCCAAACCAAGGAATGCAGCGAGGGCAGGTTTCTCAATTGCCCAGAAGACACAGCTCCTCCTGAACTAAAATTAGAAAGCGGCCGGGAAGGTGAGCCAAGAATCCTGGGTAAGAGGCTGAGAACCGGCTGTCAGAGCTGGGGGTGGGGTGGGGGAAGGCGGAGAGAAAGCAAGTCTCCATTTTGTTTTATTTCTTCAGTTAAGTCTTTAGGTTTGTTCCCGGGCTTTGGGATTGCAGCAGTTAGCGCGCATGGGACGTCATTCAGGCTGGAAGAGCTATCTGCTCTGTCACCAAGTCCGAAAATGTCCCACAATTCAGCCAAAGAGCCTGCAGCTAGCTTCCTAACCCAGGTTCCAAAATGCCAAGTGGAGCAATAAAAAAGGCGATTTGAGGCCACTCCGCAGCCTACGACAAGAGACGATTGCCCAGGGCGTGACTTGGCGCCCTGAATTTATACTGGCAGCCCCGCTGCTTCTGTGCCCAGCAGTGTCCCTCTGGCTGTCAGCCTGACTCGGGGGCACTTCCCGACCTTGCGCCTCTCTACGCCGAGGAACCCCTGAATCACTGGGGGCCCAGAGAGGCACCAGGCAAGCAAGACCAGGCTTTGTCCGTGGGGACGCGGGCACTCAGGTGGGCCGGCGACAGGGCCGAGGGGCTACGAGAGGCTCCCCGGGTGCCCGCTCCTCTAGCCAGTCCCCGGAAGCGGCACCCTCCCGCCCAGCGGGCTCCGAGGGGGCGGGGAGTCGAACGCCCCCTTCCGGGTGCCTCCGCCCGGCTGGCCAGCCCCGCTCCTCCTCCGGGCGGGAATCCTCCCTCCCCCGCCCCTCCCGGAGCCGGGCCCCGGCGCCAGGCCCGGCCCCAAGGGGAGAGCCCCGAACCCGACTCTCCCTCCCCGCGGCCTCTGCTCGTCTTCCCGACCCTCTGCGGCCGGGAAGACCCCGCCGGCAGCGGCCAGGACCCACCGCTCATTACGACATCTTCCTCCCTGGCCTCCGCCGCCTCCGCCGCCACCGAGAGCCTGACACCGCCCGCCTAGCACCCGCCAATCCCGGAGCCCGCCACCACCCGAGCGACGGCAGCGCCTGCCAATAAACGTCCGGTACATTGGGGACCGACAGCACTACGAACCAATCACCGAGAGGTATCTAGAGCGACGTTGGTTTGACCAATAGGGCTGTGAAATGTCACTGATGGACGGCGGAGAGCGCCAACCGGAAACTTACTGGAGAGTGACTGACAAGCTCGCCGACCAACTGGCGAGCGAGAAAGACCCGCCCTCTGGGTGGTTGATGGACAGCAACAGGAAGCAAGGTGGGGCGGGGCTTAGCTGAAGGGTGATTTTGTATTGGTGGTGGTTGACCTCCCACCCACCTCTAACCTAGCAGATGAGTGATAGACCTGCCCTAAAGCCAATCAGAAGTCCTTAAGGTGAGGCCGAGGAATGCCCTATAAATAGCACATACATTGCGCCTTAAATTTTGAATCGCTTTGGCGTGGCAGGGCTTCTTCCAGCTTTTCGGCCACAACTCTCTGCCATTTAACCTCTTACCTGGTGAGTGGGAAGTCACCAGCCTTTTAGATAGCCCCTTGCCTTTCATCGCCGTGGGAGTGGGCAAGGCACTCCCACTCCCGGGAGGCCTTGAACTGTAAGGCATCGGGGGTCCAACACAGTAATGAGTGTTTAATCACCTCACTTCCCTGAGGGAGGAATGTTGTCATTGCGCCAGGTCGTTCAAAGTCAAACCCGCTGCCATCGAGTCGATTTCGACTCTACAGGGCAGAGTAGAACTGCTCCCTGTGGCTTCCCAGGCTGCAGACCCTCACTAGCGCAGACGGACGCGTCCTTCACGCGTGGAGTGATGATGGGTTCGAACCGCTAAATCTTGCGGCTAGCAACCCAAGGCCTACCCAACTCTGCCACCGGCTCCCAGTCACTTTAAGTCCCTGACGGTGTACATCCGGTACTGCCGCCGCTTTGAGCGCACACCCCTACCTGCCCCCCCTCCTCGCAACTGCCGCGCAGCTGGAACACCTGAGGCTCTTTCTAAAAGATTCCCGGGGGTTGCCTTTCTAATCCGGTTTGGTAAATCGTGGGGCGTGTCTGGAATCTGCATTTTAACAAACACTTCAGGCAGGTTGAATTGCACGCTGAAGTTTGAGAACCACTGTGATTCTGCACCTTTTCGCTCCTTGAATGCAGTGCCTTGAATAAAGCACTTGGCTGACACCACTCAGTAGGGTATCTTTCTCACCCAGATCCCTTCCCATTAGGCGCGGAATTTGGGAAAGATGTCCGGGTTCAGACCACCCTTGCAAACTACAGCATCCCACATACAGGGTGATC